TATTATAGATTAGGAAAGCCATTGTCTTTAGCCGAAAAAGTACTTTACTCTCATTTGGATGATCCAGTTAATCAAGACATCGAACGTGGTGTCTCTTACTTAAAGTTGAGGCCTGATCGTGTAGCGATGCAAGATGCTACTGCTCAAATGGCTATGTTGCAATTTATATCATCGGGTTTGCCGAAGGTTGCTGTTCCTTCCACAATTCATTGTGATCATTTAATTGAAGCTCAAGTAAATTAAATTTAACAGTTATAATTGTATATTATTTTTATTAATAAATGTTTAATAATAGACAGGCGGAGTTGAAGACTTGAAAAGGGCTAAAGGTTTGAATGAAGAAGTTTACAATTTCTTGAAATCAGCAGGAGCAAAATATGGAGTTGGGTTCTGGCACCCTGGTTCTGGAATTATTCATCAAGTAAATATAGCAAAATATTACTTCTGACATTTTTATTAAATTACATATGTTAAAATTGAAATTATAATATTTTGTTTAGATTATTCTGGAAAATTATGCATTTCCTGGGTTATTGATGATTGGTACTGACTCACATACTCCTAATGGAGGCGGACTTGGTGGTTTATGTATTGGAGTTGGTGGTGCAGACGCTGTTGACGTGATGGCGGATATTCCATGGGAACTAAAATGTCCTAAAGTAATCAATAATTTATAATTAATTAAAAAAATATTTATTAATTTATCATGTAATTTTTATATAGGTTATTGGTGTTCATTTAACGGGGAAGATGACTGGTTGGACTACACCAAAAGATGTAATCTTGAAAGTGGCAGATATTTTGACTGTCAAAGGCGGTACTGGTGCTATAATTGAATATCACGGACCTGGTGTAGATAATATATCATGCACAGGTAGACATGTTTACTTAATATAGTATAGAGCATACTTTTAGTAATCATTTATTCATAATTACAAAGGCATGGGTACCATCTGCAATATGGGTGCAGAAATTGGAGCTACTACTTCTTTGTTCCCTTTTAATCACCGAATGGCAGATTATTTAAAAGCGACATCACGTGCTGATATTGCTGAAGAAGCTGCCAAGTACAGTAAATCATTATTGACTCCCGACAAAGGCAGTCATTATGATCAGGTAATATTTTGTCTTGAATTATTACAATATTGTACTAATATTTTGTTTTATTATTATTTTCAATGTAGTTAATTGAACTTGATTTAACAACATTGGAACCTCATGTCAATGGACCCTTCACACCTGATCTCGCCCATCCAATTTCAAAACTTGGAAAAAATGCCAAGAAAAATGATTGGCCAGTGGAAATTAAAGTTGGTTAGTTACTTAAGCTTATTTATTTAAATTGTTACAATTATTAGAAGAGAAAATAGTACATTTTACCCAAAAGATCTATAAGTAGTAAGATCTATAATCATAAGTGATTCGATTCTGATTTTAAAATTTCTTGAGGGCTTAGAGTAGCAAGGTTTTCTATTTTCTTTATTCAAATGACACTATATAATTTATCCCTGAGTGCTATGTAAAATCATAAAAAATAATTTTAGTTGGGCTAATGATTTGTGATATAATATAAATCATATTACAATACATCTATTAGTATGTTTTTATGATAGTGTTAAAACAGTTTGAAATCCATGTATGCTCGCTTTATAACTGGTAGTTTGTTTTTTTTTGTTTACCATTAAAATAAAAATATCATATAAAAATGGAATAGTACTGATCATGCTCATTTTAGTATTTAATAACCACACCAAAAAGTTAACTTTAAAGTTTAAATAAGTATGTCAGTAATATTACAAGTTTTGTTCAGGCTGATGCATGGTCGTAGTTTTTCCTCATTGCATCAGTCGTTATCACCTACCAAAATACAATATTACATTTATATGTAATCTTCTAATTGGAAGAGGTGAGTTAGGCCTTTAAATGAAATATGACTTGTTTAAAAATAAGTTCTATAATTATTTATATTCTTTATTTGTTTGACGTCCTTTCTGCAACGGCAGTAGGGATCACTGGTTTTGAAGAAAACTGTTGTTTTTTTATACTATTTATTGTTAAGATAATAATTGTTGTGTTTTAGATATTTGTTAAGATATTTTTCTAATTTCAGGTCTTATTGGAAGCTGCACCAACTCAAGTTATGAAGACATGTCGAGATGTGCTACTATTGCAAAAGAAGCTCTAGCTCATGGTCGTAAATCAAAAATTCCATTTAATGTTACTCCTGGATCTGAACAAATTAGGGCAACAATTGAAAGAGATGGAATTGTATATAAGAATTTTATATTATACTAGTTATTGGTAGATATTTTAATTACACTATTATTTAGGCACAAACACTGAGAGAATTTGGAGGTACTGTACTAGCTAATGCGTGTGGTCCATGTATTGGTCAATGGGACCGTAAAGATGTCAAAAAGGGTGAAAAGAACACCATTGTCAGTTCATACAACAGAAACTTTACTGGACGTAATGATGCCAACGCAGCAACTCATGCTTTTGTCACTTCTCCGGAGCTAGTTACTGCTTTAGCCATTGAAGCTCGTTTGGACTTTGATCCCACAGTTGATTCAATTAAGGGAGCTGATGGTAAGTTATATATTAATTATCAGTTATCATGATTTATAAACTTCAGTCACATAAAAAACCACATTAAAGGCATTAATATGTACTCAAAATCAGGGATTTGTATTAAAAATTAATATTTAACAATTTTATTTTTATAGGCAAAGAATTTAAATTGAGTAATCCATTTGGCGATGAATTACCCGCAAGAGGATTCGATCCAGGTCAAGATACATACCAAGCTCCACCTGCTGATGGTTCATCCGTGAGTGTGGTAGTAGACCCAAAATCCAATCGACTTCAACTATTGGAACCATTCAAGGTTTGGGATGGAAAAGACTTAGAAGGCCTTACTATACTCATTAAAGTATGGATAGATAAATAATATGCATTTTATGATTTTATTTTTTTTTAAATGCTCTTATTTCTAATGTATACCTTTTAAATAGGTGAAAGGAAAGTGTACAACTGATCACATTTCTGCTGCTGGCCCATGGTTAAAATACCGAGGTCACTTGGAAAATATATCAAATAACATGTTATTAACGTAAGTTATTATGATTTAGTTTTAATTAAAATGTATAAAATACATTTATTATTTTCATTATTCCAGTGCTACCAATGCAGAAAATAATGAAATGAATAAAGTAAAGAATCAGGTTACCGGAGAATGGGGTGCAGTACCAGATACAGCTAGGGCATACAAAGCCAAAGGTATATCGTGGGTAGTGTTTGGCGATGAGAACTATGGTGAGGGAAGTAGCAGAGAACATGCCGCGTTGGAACCACGACACTTGGGAGGACGTGCAATCATTGTCAAGTCTTTTGCCCGTATTCACGAAACTAATTTGAAAAAACAAGGAGTATTAGCCCTGACATTTTCCGATGTTAAAGATTATGATAAAGTTCAACCATCTGATAAAGTGTCTTTGGTAGGACTGAACCAATTTACCCCTGGCAAGGTAAACCTAAGTTCATTTAAAATTCATGCAGTTATCCAGTGCTTACTGTATATTTTATTGATCAAATTGTATTTGAGTTATTCAACTAATATTATTGTTCATAATTTTAGCCCTTGAAATGCATTTTGTCCCACGCTGATGGAAGTTCTGATGAAATATTACTGAATCATACATTCAATGAACAACAAATCCAATGGTTTAAATCTGGCAGTGCATTAAACCGAATGAAGCAAGTGGCTGCTGCTTCTAAATAAATGTTGATCCTTCAATATTAAATTGTATTATCTATTAATATTTAAATCATTGTTGATATTTTAAATTGAAAACAAAAAATAATTTTATGTAAAAAGTAACTGTTTTTAGTCAAATATTTTTTAGGCGAAAAAATCATTGGATTTAGATCCTTTGCTACTATTGTTTTATATATTATAATTGTTAATAAATTAAATAAATCAATTTTGATAGTTTTAAGTATGTTGATTTTTGTTACCTATTATAACTTTGCTCTTAAAAGTAGAATGAATGCCTTAAGACTAAAATAGTTTCAAGAAAACATTAAGGTTTATAAATCTTGTACATATTACTATAATTTCCATAAGATAATTCCCTTCAATGAGTCACAATCATTATATATCATTCAGTATATTTTAATTTTAAATAATTAGTTGGTATGTACATTGGTAATGGGAAACAAGTGGACAGCTAGATGGCGACGAAGTTCTGTACTTATTTGACATCAGTGTATGAGCTCAACGCCATGAAACTCTCGGGTGAACTTGACAGCAACGACGAAAAAGGCTATGCTTTTCACGACATTCCTAAAATATGACGATGGCAATAATAATACTAATACATCAGAACATTATACCAAATGACAGAGTTTGAATGATGCTTACCAAATGTTTTCGTCCTGGTAGATGAACTTTACCTTTTCCATGGCTGTGCGTGGTTTTGGCTGGACAGCCTGGGCCGGTCTTCCGAACATTTTATAAGTAGGTGATTCGGGATGAGAGCAACAAGGACAGGTAAGGTTGATCGGACGCTACAGCGGAAGTTAGTAGCTATACCCTAAGTATAGAATAATTCTGATCACCAATTATTAATTATTGTTGATTGACGGCGAAACTTAGACACAAATGCAAATTGATGAAAACGCAAGACGGTGAAGGCGTGAAATGTGGATGAAATATGAATCGGTCGTGTTTTGGATCCTGTGAATGGGCAATGGGCAATGGGCATTGAATTATTGAACCACGATGTTATCACTTATCAGCTGTTATCTTATGGCAGCGTAGCCAACCTATTTTGCCAAGTAGTCGCTCCTAAGCAGCCTGATAAAGATCCTCTGTTTTTTACATAAGAGCATATTTATTTAAGCCACAGAATATATTATGAAAATACCATCCATGGCTCCACTGTTTAAATTGTTTATCATTATTAGGTTACCATAATACCGTCCGTGTTCCTTCCGTTCATTGTCCAACATCTTGTTTGTGGTTTACAGTGTTGGCGCTGTTTTTTCGTTTAGCCTGCCGCCAATTTAATCTTTTATCTATACCTATAGATTAAGTCTATTCTGTGCCTATACTCTATTATAGTGTCTAATGTCTAGTGCCTTCTGCCCACCGGCCACCGCGTATGGTACTCTCTCGATTGTGATTTGCGTTCTTGACTCTGATGCTTAGTATTTCAATTTCCCCCGTTTTCCGTATTGTGGTCTCAAACCCGCAGATCGCTATTTACTATGAGCAAGTAAGCGACTACAACTAGAAAACAATTATTTGTTTCAGTTGTTAGCCAATCAATATGGATCTGTTGATGAATGAAGTACGATCATTACAATTAAAAATAGACGGTATGACCAAGAAACTTGACTCGTTGGATACAAAAATCAATGAAATAACCGAATCACAGCAGATTGGAGGAGGAACGGTTCGCAAATCTGACAATTTCAATAACATCATTATCAGATTTTTTACCGTATGTATGATGTATTATTTATAATTAAAAGGTTGGAAAGATAGGGGTTCCATACTAGTTAATCAGTAGCTGACAGCAGTTACTATTCTTGCAATGGTAGTCATAGATTCATAACTGTCTTAAAAATGTTTATTGTGACATTGTTCTTATGTTTTTTTTTTTAGGGCTTACGAAAATTGACACCTGAAGAATTAAAGAAGACTCTGGATGAAGCTAATGCTATTCTAAGTACTGTAGATCCCATTCTCACAGATCAAAATCTTGAACAAACTCTAGAACAGACTGTCTCTAAAGATAGGTTAAAAATAATGTTGAAAGAGGTATTTGATTTACTTAATTCATTGCACCATAGTGCCACAGTTGATGCTTCAACAAGTATTGAATCCAGAAATGATTATAATGAAGACAAAGAGAAAGAAGAGGAGAAAAAAAGAAGAGAAGAAAGAGAAAAGAAAGAGAAAGAAAGAGAAGACAAAGAGAAAAAAGAAAGAGAAGACATAGAGAACAAAATAAGAGAAGACATTGAGAACAAAATAAGAGAAGAAAGAGAAGATAGAGAGAAAAAATTAAGAGAAGAAAGAGAAGACGAGAAGAAAATACAATTTTGGAGAAAATATAAAAACAAATACAATTATATCGAGAAACTTAAACTTAAATTGCCGCCTTTAGACAACTCAGTTAAGGAAACGGAATCTCTACAAAGTGATGTAAATGCCAATGTACAAAATGATTTAAATGACAATACACAAAATGATGTAAATGACACTGTACAAAATGATGTAAATGGCACTGCACAAAATGATGTAAATGACACTGCACAAAATGATTTAAATGACAAAACATATACTTTAGATGATATTATACAGAAATTTGATGTATATGAAATGTTCAAAAGGAAACTTAAAAATTCACCATATGAAGACCCATATTTCAAAAATAATGTCAAAAATTCTAATTTGCGTTTAACATTACAAAGTGGTGAAACCATTGTAAAACCAGTGAGTCATGTAGCACCTCTTATAGTACTAAAAAAATGTGATGATTTGTGTCCAATTCCACTTCAAAATAAAAAAACGTATGTATTTATCGATTTTAATGTATAATATTTTATTTATTTAAGCTGTTATAATTGTATGTTTTAGTACGGGTAAACAATTTCCAAGTACTTCGAAACAAGTTTCCAATACTAAAAATACAACTACAAATGTGACCAAAAGAGAAACAAGAGCCAATAAAACAATGAAGTTGACCAATAGGTATATTTGCTTTTACACTCTATTCCAAATTAGATAACCCACTCAACTGATAAAAACTGGTTGCCCCCGCACATTCCCTTCCACAATTTTTTTCAGAATCTTACATATTATAATTTCTATATAATGTGAATTTTTCAATTTTTACTTCAGTTTTCTCCAAAGATATTAATCTTTTTGTCTAATGAACAATTTATAAAATGTGACATGTGCCTTTTTTGCATTAAATGATTCATTTGTACGTAAGTGTCGGCTTTCTTTAAATATTTAAATTTTCAAGTAAAAAATGATGTTTTTTAATTTGTGATACTTCACATATTTTACCCTTTCTTGAAAATTAAAATATCTAAAAAATATATGGCGCTTAAGCATTGATAACGTTCTTACCTAAAAGATTGATAATAGGTCAATTAATTTTAATATCAAACTATACAGCACATAATTGGAACTAATGAACGAACATTTTCTATGTCGTACATGTGTAAGCCTTATGTACAAAAAATAACAATAACTAAAAAAAAGTAGATACTTGTATCTTATAGGTTAGATTAGCTAACAGCCTGGCTATGTGAAATTCATTATACTAATTATTAATTATTAATTTCTAATCAATAATATTGATTATTGAACAAAAATATGTATGTTGACATTTCATTGGTTATTATTAAAAGAGAACAAAACACTGAAAACAATAATAATTTTTAATTCGAAGGAATTTTCAATTCTAAAAACATTAGTTTAGGTTAAACATTTCTACTCGCATTATTTAATTATTTTAGAGAAAATGAAAAAAGGCACATGACGTCATTGACACTGTAGTAATTTCTTATCTTCTACGTGTAAAATTTTGCTTCACACAATAATTTACTAACCTTAAGAATATATTTTTGAAATTTTGTTGTACTTGATGTATTTTTATGCACTGAAGGTGTGGCTGGAACCAGAGTTTTTACAATATGCCGCGATCAGACATTATCTCTTCTAGTATTTTTAATATTTAAAAAAAAGTAAACGATGGATAGCAATTCTAATACATTTATTGTCTAAAACACAAAAACAATCACACATTTATGTGTAAATCAAACATCAAAATTACTATTTTTAGGGTTGTTATTATTGTAAAAATTGAGCAACTTTTACTGGTGTGTAAGATGGGAATTATATCAAACCCATTTCAATGACATCACTTTCGCTATTCCATGTACCCTATTATCTCCTTAAATAATACATTTTTTTACATTGAATTTTGGCCAAATTGTTTTTTATAGTTCTAATAACAATAACTTAATATTTAATAATAATTAAAAGAAAAATTTTTATTGTGTTTTGTGCTCGTTTAACTTATAATGATTTTGTAACTATGAACTATTAGTATTGTCATACCTGATAGTAATATCTAACTTTATCATAAGCAATTATGTAGATTTTAACTGAATCAATAATATATTTATGTTGTTAATATTTTTAGTTTCAATACCAATGTGAAAGCTAACCAAACCAAAAAAAGAAGTCTGACCATCAAAAATAGTAAATATGAACCTTCCAAAAAAAAAAGAAATTAAACAAACCAATATCCACTAATATTTGTATTGTATTAATTAATTTATGAATTGTTATGACTTAAAACTAAATATTTATTCTTCATGTAATTCAAGAAATGAAACAAGTACAATAACTTTATTTACTATTAATATTATTTTAATTATAAACATTAAGAATGAATGAAATTCATTATTTACTCATTTAAATATTTTATGGTTATTTTAAATGTTTTATATTTATGAATGAATAAAATGTTGATGCCACTCTAATTAATCAATAAGCTTGATTTATGTGATTAGAATTTATATATGTATTTAATAGAATTACACAAGGATGTACCTGTGTACACTGTACGGGGTGTTTAAAGGTTCACCCTCTGGGTTTTCTGGGTACTTGTAGGTTATTGCAATTACTGTCACCTTATCGCGACTACCTTGATGTCTAATGCATGCTGCAATGAACGTCTTTTTAAGTATAGTGGTATATGATATAGCTTACAAATAAGTTAGGGTATAATAATACAAACAAATACGAGTAGGTTATATTAAATTACCAATTACTAAGTACCAAAATATTTCCTTATAGTACCATATATACCCATAATTTTGTAAAAAATATCTTGAGAGTATACAGCGAATATGTAGCATGTGATAAGTAGTATATTATCCTATGACAGAGGTAGGTCGGTAGGTGTGCCAGAATTGGCATGTTTTCCAAATTTCAATGGTATGTCAAAACTAATTAAGATATTTTTCTTGACATATTTCATAATATTTTGTCTGTAATAAATAATAATATAAGTTGACAAATAAACTCGTAATAAAATGTATATTATAATTATTGTTTACCTTTTTTTATAGTCTCATTAAAAATGCCTTTTTTTGGTGGAGGGGCACACAATTATATTTTTAAAATATTGTTTTTACATTTTGGCACTTGACCCGAAAGAGATTTACCACCCCTGCCCTATGGGAACACCCATGAGGGCTGAGATTAGGTAACTTAGAAATGAAATATTTTTTCTTTCTAATCACGTTTTATTATCACATAATTATTATGTTATTAGTAAAAAGTTTCAATATTCAAACATTTTGTAACTGATGATAGTTGATGATTTTTTTTTTAAAGTTTGAGTGACAATTATAATTTAAGTTTTGTACATGTCTACATGAAAAATGAAAATATACATTTTAATTTAAATGTATTTTTAAGAGAAAGCTATACCGGTAAAAAAATTTAATAAGAGCTCGTGCACAACGATAGTTTTGCTGTTGATTACCAATGGTTTTATTTCCGCGGTTGCGGTTCTTACTTTACCGTCTAAACACCTGATATTAAATTGACTGAGCCATACTACATGGTGGACGCAGCGGTGTAGTTACGGGTGATGTGGGGGATAGATCCCCCCTCCATAAGCTTAATTTATAAATTGACTTTTACCTACAAATATTTTAAATTCAAATTTCAAATTTATAAATTATTAGAAAATGAAATCAAGTTGTGTCAGTTGTATCTTGTATTAGTATATATATATAATTCGTTTGTTACTCGGTAAGCAATAAGCATAATTTAAAAATAAATGGTTATTTAATTTTCATCTTTATCTTATTGGTTTATAAATGCGGGTTATCCTGCCATACATTGTATCTAATTAGTAGGACAGAAGACTGAGCATTTGTATATTTTTTTTGCATAGACAAAAATAGTAGAGTACGAAACAACTATGTTTCATACTTTCACAAAGCAAGTTTTGAACTTTTATTATGTATATAAATGCATATTTTGAGTTTTTTTAGTTTTTAAGGCATATTTTTTCTATTTTATACTTTTAAATGCATATTTTAAATAGTTTATCATTTTATCAATATTTTTTTCGTCAGCTTCCAAAATAACGTTGAATTTTTAAATTATTTTGAATTTTAATCATAATATTAACATGGTTGTTGACTTTTCCCAGTCACATGTTTTTCCTAAAAACACGTCTCGAGAGTTGCTTATTAGACCGGTTGACGAGTTATTAGAGTATAGTTATAAGAAGTATCTGAAAACCCATAAAATTAACTCAAATAATTGAATACTTATTGTAACTTGTAAGCCTTACTTAAAATTTAAATAAAATGTATTCATTAAAATTATTGGTACCTACAGAAAATTCTTGATTTTTGTTAAAAAAAAAATAATCATTTTAAAATGCATATTTTGTATATTTAAGTGCATATTTTTTGATTTTTTAGGGCTACAAGTCCTCTGCCCTACTAAATAGTAATTACAGAACCTACATGCTACATACACAGATATAAAAGATACTGAGATAGGAAATACTCCAATGATGGGTAAAACCGCAATTCCAAAAACATAACCTAATAGTAAAAATGTTACTTCAAGATTAACAATAATATTGGTATGAACTAACAGTGAATACTATGAACTCGTGCTGTCACGCAGTATCTGCATTGGTTTTCACGAGTCACGACGCGTTTACACGCTAAACACTAAACAGTACACATTATCACTCTGTAACGACTAACGAATTAAATATTTTTCCTATGCACACTTCGCAGTAAATAGTAGGTAATTTATTGTTAGAATTTTATATTTTTCTAATCCTAAAACCAAAATAGATAAAAACAAAAGGAAATCGACTACTAATAATTTTTAAGCAACAGGTCATTGATGAACTTGCCAAGGAATTTGGACTTCATATTATAAAAAAAAAAAATTGATTAACTTTTTTTGTTCATTTGTACATGTAATATAAAATAATTAGATATGTGTAGATATGGGGGGGGATGTGGAGGGCAAAGCCCCCACAAGTCTGTATTGAATATTTATTTTGATATCCCTCCCCATGAAACATTCTTAGTCACGCCACTGAGTGGACGTAGTAAAACCGCATAGTATGGCTCAGTCGATTTGAAAACGGCTGTTTAGTAGGTAATGTAAAAACCGTTTGGACTGACAGCCAAAATACTGCAGCGTTGCCGTGCCCTTCAACAGGTAGAAAGGTATTACATTATAAATAATAGATACCTAACTTCAATGTGTATAATTACTATAACTGTATCATGTTTGAAAATTCCCGAAAACTGTCGCATAAAAATTATGTGTGGTATAGGCACGTATACGGTTAGTCACTCCACAAGACAGAATTTGATACTAAAGTTCCTTTTTTAACTTAAAAAAAACATAACAATTTTTTTTTGTTTCTGGAGGACAAACTACAACACCAAATTTTTTTTGACAACAATTAACAAATTCCTTGAATTTCTTTTCAGGGATTAATTTTACTCCTTTGCGATGAGTAGATTTTTTTTCCATACCTCTGAGATATTCTTTTTTGTTTTTCAGTGGTTATATTTATACCAGTATACCAATTTCAATTGTATAAATATTAAATAAAAATATAACAACTGTCAACCATTACGTAGATCATAATATTAAAAAAATATTTTAATGAGATAAATCTGCACCTTAATGAGAAAGTGACAGTAATTCTTCAGGGGATGTTTTTATGTCACTATTTGTGACCACTTCATAAATGATTTTAGCGCATGGACTAAGATTGAGTAGTTCCTTTATCTATCTTAGTCCGTGTTTCAGTGTTAACTGTTAAGGCCAGAATTGTTTTCTCTTACAAAAAAAAAAAAATATACATAGAATACCTATAATAATATCTTCTCTTAAATAATAATAAGCTTAATATACTATAATGTATTTATCTAAATTAGAAATTGCTGGTAGTTCTTCAGGATTTGATGATACTTACCTATTAGTTATTGGATATAAATATACCTATATATAGTCATCAACGATGTTCATTGCATGTATCTTGAAAGATAATTCCAGTTTTAGGACCCTTATCTATTGCTTTCATACACGATAATAATGTTTTAAATACATAATATAGTTAAAATGTAAATTAAAGAAATTAAAATATTTTATACAACCATAAGATAACAGAATTTGATTCTAAATCTGAATTTAAGTATGTCTCACTGTTCAACCTGTGAGTTTTGTCCGAAATCAGTACCAAAATAGATTGTTACTGGGCGATGAATAACTAAAAAAAAAACAATGAAATTATTTTTGCTTTACCTGATTAAATTCATTTTTTTGTTAACTTAATGAGCCATACGCGCATACACATACTTAGTAATGATCATTATAATGTACAGGTTTCAAAGTCTCTAAAATAAATAATAATCATGATTATTGTATTAATATAATTTTTATTTCATCCAGATAAACTATGAAAATTATTTTTGATAAATATTATGGGTACTTACCGCTGGGTTTGAATTAGTGTCTATTGTTTGTAATTTTTTTATAGATTTAATAAAAGATGATTTAAAGTTAAACATTTTATGACCGATATGAAACATAGCTGATTATGAGTAAAATAATTATAATCACAAGCTTAATTACAATAAAAATAACATGTGATAAAAACTGCAGTGTATGGTCTTACCTATTTCATAATATAGGACAGTTATATTTTACTTCAAATTATAATATTATAGTTGATGGTTTGTTACACTAACAAAATTCTAATTGTTCCTTTTCTAATATTTTGCACAGAAGAAAAATTAATTTTGCCTCCACCCATGAACTCTGGTCAAATACGCCCTTTACTAACAGATAAACATTCTATAATCTTAAATATTACTAATAAGTCTGAGACCTCAATTGATCCAAAAATTAGTTCAACTTTAAGTAGTAGAGGCATTTAAATATCTATTGATTATTTCAAGGGTTTATTATTATTACTACTTACCAGCGACAGCAAGAAATATCAGCCTTGTTTTAAATAGGTATATTATATATACAAAAAACATTACAAACATCTACTTCCATTTATATTTCATAAGTCACCAGTTATAGCGCCGGTAAACTTAAACATTCACTTGGCCAAAGTGTAACTTTAAAAAATGATAGAAAATACATGTTAGCGTTTTCTATACACCATACATTTTTCAAAATATTTTGACTTGTGTTGAACTATTTATAGGCATATGAAATTTTCGATTATAATTTGTTTTTTTAAACTAATGTCTATAAAAATTTTTTTGCTTGGTCAAGAAACACGTAAATGTAATACCAGGTTCATCGCAAGTTGTTGTTAGTGCAAATTAAAAAAAAAAAGTTGAGTGTAAATCCACAATAATTTTTTATGAGCGTTTAAATTTAGAATTTTGACGAAATTCGTAAAAATCACGAAAATTAGCTAATTATATTTAGTTAGAAGTTCATTAAAATTTTTCTTTTTATATCCAAGATTTCAAAATGTACTACAAGATTCCTTATCAGCTTATCTACCTTTATCAAAAAAAAAAAATTTCTACTGGAGAGTCGAATTAAATTTTTATGAGCATTTGAAGTTGAAATTGTATACAGCATTGGATATTCACTTGATTTCTCTTGTAGGGATTTTGTTATTTTGTTGTAATTCAAAAACGAATTACAGTAGACACTTGAAATTTACATCATATGTTTATTTCACCAATTCATATACTCGATACATTTTTCAAAATATTTAAACTCGTTTTAAGCTATTGGTGGACATTTTCAATTCGATTTTAAAATTTTTTTCTATAAATGTCAATACAATTGGTTGGATAAAAAAGCATGAAAATTGAATGCTAGACTCTTGATATATATTGTTACAATAGCAGTGGAAAAATATAAAAAATACATATTCACCATTTTTTTTTATAAGCATTTAAGTACAAATTTGGATAAAATTGCATATTAACACAAAAAATAACGTTTATCATTTTGTTGTAATTTGGTTCCAAAACAGCCCAATTTTACATCAGTATATATAATATTTGTCCAGCTCACTTATAATTTAAGAATAATGTTAATTCAATTTACCGGCTACCATACTAATAATAATTAATAAGTAATAATAGTATAAAATATCCCGGACCGACACACCGTCTCCGCTCAAAATCGTTTTTTGTATGCAATGATATGATATCATTGAATTCAAATTTGATACCATCCATTACAGCGACATCCTAGACACCTAATGTGAAGCAGAGCGATATCCACTTACCCGCTTTTTTATGTTTAAATTAGAGTTGGCCAAATCATAATATCCAATCAACTTACCAACGTAAAATTAGTCAGATTAAAATTAATGCCAATTTAAATTTCGTGTAACGATTGAAAATTATAGACATTCGTCAAATTATTTTATCTTTTTAAGTTTATTTTTATAATAGGTAATCCAATTATTGTAAAAATTAAAAATAGTCATAGTATTTATTGAGACTTGTATCTGTTGCATACACGACAGCGCGGAATGCATATTACTACGAATTTCGATAATAATATAATATTATGTCGTTAATATAGGTACAATAAAATATATAGGCATAAGCATTATTATAAATTATAATATTATAATTAAGAAGTATAGAAGAACATTTGGAAATACATTAGTTTTTTTAATTATTGACGATAAACATTTTTCGGTCGGTTAAAAACTTGAAATTTTCATAGACGTTAGAATTTGGACAAATTAAATTCATCAAAATCACGAAAACTTGCATATTATTTCAAAGGTAGTTAAAAATGTACTAAATGTATTGTAATGTATTGTAATGTACTGTTTTATTTCCTCTATAGACTATAATGAGTTTTGAGTGCTTAAGCAACCCCCACCCCCCACAATATTTTTGGGTGATTTGAGCATCTACTGGTATGAACGGTCGATAGCAACACTACTATCTAAATATACACAGGAGGGTCAGGAAGTCGCAGTAATATGACGGTTAACTATAAATATTGTCCGTCAACAAAAATGGTCACCATTACTATTATGTTCGGATGTAGTACAATATAGTTCAACGGCAAGTGAATGTTTACACCGTACAAAGTTAAATGTACACACGTTTTAGTAGAAACAATATATATTATATGTATTATTTGGCGAATAGGTATATTATTGTTATTTTTTTTTCAAATTTGAAAATGGAAGAATTATTTAATAATCGAAAAATGTATTGTCAGTTACCCTGTTTATTTGTCCAATGGTCAACACATATGGCTAAATTCGTTCCTGCTATTGTAAACACGACTAAATAGCAGTTAATGAAGTCTTGTATGATTACAAAATTAATGAAACTGTATGTACGAGTAGTTAGTACTATATCCATCACCAACGACGTATTTATGAGGGGCGGAGGGGAAAGTTTCTTGGTATCCATCTTAAATACACTACAGCTACGGTGCTGTCCAAGTTATAATGTACTCAACTTGTAGAGTATAATTGAATTAATATTTAACATATGTGTATAATATAATTGTTTTAATGATTATTATATTAGTAATTTACAAAATACGCACGCAGAAAATTAATATTTTAGTATTATGCTTTAAATAAAAAAATTAAGTGCTATAATATTTTGGTAAAATAAATTAGAGCTTGTAACAGTGGTGGGGGTTTTATCACCATTATTCAATGTTAGGGGTCAACCGCCCCCCCTCCCCCTTGCCTTATATTCTGACAACAAAGGTTTTTTTTATTGTATCATTCTTATTTCTGGGTTTGTTTTAGGTAGGTAAATCATATTAACTTTAATATATTATGAGCAATAAATATTTATAAGAACAATTCGAATATGGGCAGTTGAGGCTGCATAAAATACCTCATGTTACCTACCTATGCATTATGCGTTTCTTCAAGTTGCAACATGCCAACATTATATATATTTGTTTGGTATCAGCTATAATATCATATAATATATACCCACATATCATAATGTATTATTCCACTAGTTGTTATTGTTTAATTTAACAACCTAAGTAGTTAACGCTTTTGAAGATTATAATATAGGTCTCACCTATGAATTATAACAACATCACATTATCTATAATAGAAAAAAAATATTATTTATAGATATACTTATTATACCTACATCACGAGTACTTACTAACATTATAACAATATGTCGAAACTCAATATAAAATATTCTATAGCTATATAGTCAAACCAAAATGAATTGTGCATAATACTATATTGAGATTAGAGTTATCGATGCCATACCTTTATTTATATAAATATATTCTAAGTCACGTAGGAAAGTGGAAGAATTTTCATGTTTGTATTTTGTTATAAAATCTTAATGATATTATTATTACCTACTTATTTACCTATGTACTGGGACATGGTTAATAGCTGTTACAAAAAGAAAACGCGTCAAATAGTTTTTATAGGTATCAATTATACGAAAATGAAATAGAAATAATTCTCAAATATCATACTTATTACTAGCCACTAAGTATAGGTACTTAATAAACACCACTCTATGGCTGTATTAATATTTGTACATTTCTGCATTGTATTGTATGGCATAAAGATCTGTACATAGTAGTATGTAAGTACTAGTACTACTGATTATAGACTCCATTGAGTCTCCATATTAGGAAGCCTCGAATCTGCAGTATACGAGTACAATATAGTTTTGATATGGTAGACCTCAATGGAATATGTACTGATCTAACACTTAAATAATGCATAATATTATCCTCATGATTTGTGGCCTAATAGGTATTTATTAATTGTTTTATTTTCGATTTTTGTGTTGTAGGGTAGAAATCGCCAATCAAAAATATAAAACGGTTTAACTTTGATAAAATAGGTAATAATATATTATAATATATTTGTCCATCGTTAAATTGTTATTATTACCGAACTTGAAGTTAATAATCGCTTGTACTTATGCTTGTCTCGTAGGTAGTAGATCATAAAAACTAATCATTTCATGAACAATATAAAGTAATTAACACTTGGCAGTAGTTTTAATATATTTTTATGAGCAAAAATCAATAACATTTTCATTAATGTTTTTTTTTTTTAATATTACACATGGTAATTCAACATAATGCATGCTCAACCTCATACTTTTATGTTTTAATCATGTAGTATTTTATTTATGTATTAACTCAATTTCTGGTTGTTGGAATGTTTATGCAAACTATTACTTGAGAGAACATGGTCCATATTTTAAAAAACCTATTTTTAGCAGTACAACACAATTCAAACGACAATCAATCTTTTTAAATTCTTTTAAATAATTGTGAAAATGTAATGTTTGTAATTTTCTGGGACAATGAGTAAATTAATGAGTGTTGTGCTAACAATGCCCTGGCTTCATAGGCGTAACTAGGATTTAATAGTTATAGGGCAGGGGTCGGGAACCTGCGGCTCTTTAACATGCAATCTGCGGCTCTTTGAATAATTTTCAATATAGATATATCCGTAAAATTATTACGTATTAACGTATTATTATGTTTTTATTGCCTACTAAAAAAAAAAAGGTTGTTCAAACCTGTCTGTGCGGCTCCCTGGATATCATAGTTTTGTATTTTTTTGAAAGAATGACTCTTTCCTACGAAAAGGTTCCCGACCCCTGTTATAGGGGCTAGAGTCCTAGAAAATTAATGTTAAAATAACTTTGGGGGCTTACCTCCACCATAGTAAGCGTTACTGTCCTGAAAATAAAAATTAAAAATAAACAATAAAATTAAAGTATAAACTCATCATTAAAAACAAAATTTAAATAATAAGATAAGTACAATATATATTATAGGGGGCTAAATACACATATAGAGGGGCTAAGACCCCTAGCCCCCCTATGCCTGGCTTAATAAATTATCATAATAGTAATGTTTAGGTTCTTATCACCTATATTGCTATTTATTGATAATTTTTTCATTTTTATTGAAGATTATGTGTAAGCACTAAACACATACACATATTTTACATCTGAATATTTAATATTTATAATAATAAATTGTATTCACATGTAAATGTGTGAGTACATAGTATACATAGGTAATATGATATTTTTTTTTACAATAAAATACCTAGAATATATATAATAATTCAGTAAACAATATTTTTCTACTCAGTAAATAATGTATAAATAATCAACATACCAACAGGCAACAATATTGTAATTAGGCTGGTACCTAGGTATGTCACTTCACTGACAAGAATTATTGAAATTTGTTGTGATAAAAATTGTTGGGTAATTCTGTTGATTAATATTTATCAATATTTTAATATTTTTAATTTAAGTTATGTGCATGGATTTTCATTTTCAGGGGGTATTATAGGAATGTAAAATGTCTATATACTTACGAGTAACGTGGAATGAAACTTTGAGGCGCGTGGTTTCTTGGAGGTGGAGACCACTTAAACGCACAGAAATCAAATTATTCAATAGTGATTCTACTATGCTAGAAGCTAATAAAAAAAAGGTAATAGTAATATTAATACAATTATTTTTTTGCTTATAAAAGTATTTAAAACTGTAATATTGTATACTTAAAAGTGGTATTTACGAGCCTTTGTTTGATTAAAAAAAATTTTCTCAGTAGTTTTTTATTAATATCACGACAAAAGCTATACTATAGAAGTATAGACTATTTGGCTCCAGTTTTAAAAAAAAGATACATTTTCAGAAAGCTTCCGTTTTACAAATATGTCAATTCCCAAACGGGTTCCATTTTTGACAACTCAAATCCCTTCCGACTGTTCATACATACTTAGACCTGTCTCAAATGAGGTACAAAGAGGTTAAATAAACACGTGGTGTTGTTTTTTTTTAAATTTTATATGCCAAGTAAATTATACTGAATTTTGTTGTTAATGTGTGCAGTGTGTGTGTGTGTGTGTGTGTTTGTATCCAATCCGCAACCAATAACTAATGGTTACTAATGGTATTAATGGTCCTGAAATTTAGTACATATGTAATTCTATATTTCTATATAGGTATCAAAGAATCTGCACATCGAAACCAATTTTTTAACTTAGTTATGAAGCATTGGGATTTGTTGGACCACGAAAAATGAAACTATGTTTGCTTGTATTGGGTTGCCATTAGTTACACAATACAAAATAAGTTTATATAACTGCATATATTGTATTGTAAATGATATACTATATTTTATATTTGGTTAAAATCACCTATACAAATATGTAAAAATATGTGTAGTTCACTAGTTCACATAATTTATTAAATTGAACGAAGTTTAAGACACAGTAAATATACTCCTACCATATAGTATCATTATATAATTTGTCACGGGAAACGCCGTGCAGGATAAGCTATAATTAATAAAAAATGTATTTACTATATTATATAAGATCAAAGGCCTAAAACGGATTGAACCCTTATGGGAAATAATAAAAATGTTCGTCAATATATTCAGCAAGATCTGTAGTGTCATAGGTTACTATTTGTATTGCGTGTTTTTGACATATTTCAAAACATAAATTCACATGTTTCATATAGTTGACTGACAAAAAACTATAGGTCGGTACCTAGGTACATTTTTTTTACATACTGTTACCAAAAGTAGTTTTTATGATTGAATATAATTTCAGACCTGTATTGTATACTTGGTTTTAATCAAATCAACTCAGATAACTGTATTAAAAATCTGTGCAGCTTGTGTCTGTGTGTGTGTATGCGTGTGTATGTTTTTAATACTTATGAATTTAACAAACGAGTTTTACAAATACATTTGAATAATTCGATTGCTTGTTTGTTAAGTGCAATTTCCGATTACTGGTTTATTATGATTTATGCTCTTCAAAAAATATTAAAGGTTAAAAGTTATAAAAAAAAAAATCCCTGCATTGTGTTCAAAAACACAAAATTTAGATTACAAGTATAATATCTAGGACTTAAACATTTTGTAGAAAACTAGAGGCATAATTTCACATTAAGGGGATATAATATATAAAAAAAAAATAGTAAGTAGGTACATTTGATAATTAAATAAATAAAACTTCATTTATACATCGTGTAAAATAATAATTATAAATATTTTTGAGTTTCCATAATTTTAATGCGCAAGAGCACTAGCAGTTACATTTATTATTTCAAAAGTATCTAATGTTTCCGTAACAATTTAAATATTACTTACGACTTACCCCTTGAAAAATGTATAGTAACGGCGCATGGCATTGCACTTAGGGAGACATTACATTATAATGCATAATATTATATTATTGTGTGGCTATATATATTATATCGAACATAAAGCGAGAGCGATAATAATTGTATTAATTTTTTTTTTAATGTTTTCATCGCGATTATATTATTATTATTATGGATAATTGAATAATTTATCAATTAAAAGCACGTATATGGGCATTAGGCAATCGACACGAATATTACACGACCGTCGTCCGACAATGGGGCGAAGTGCGCATAATAATAATATTCTTATCGACGAGTGTATATATATAAAACACGTCGGATCATCGTCGTTGCAGCACATTATTATATATATACATGCAGCTCGCAACTGAATAAATGGGTAACTATTATATTATATACATATTATAATATGACGAGCGGCGCCGTGCCTCGGGAATGCGTATTATCAGATTTTGTACCTCTAGTCTCTGCGGCGGACATATAACTATATATATATATAATATTACCTATACACAAGATATATGTAAGCTATACTCACAAGAGTTTAAAAAAAAAAAAACCGGATATTTCAAAAAAAGATAAAACACTATATTATACAGGCCTACCTGTATAATATAATACTACATATATATATATCGGTATATACGCGCGGTGTTGAGCAGCAATCACTGCGGGCGGCGACGGTGTGGTTGTTTGGATTTTGACTTCAAACATAGTATTTTAATGTTATAATTTATTTTGACTTAAGCGAGTGGATATCCGGACGAAGACAGGCTGTTACGGAAAAAAAATTGCCCACAAAAACTTATGATAATATTAAACAATTATTATCAATACGCGACGTATATAATAAATTAATATTATCGTAGGAAGTCGGTAGGTCGTATAATATTTACAATACACTATTGCACATTATTATTAACTATTATTTTGTAAAATTGTAATCGACGAAATGGTTTCCTTTTCCTTTTATAATATGTTGTGACCGCTATTATATGAGTGTACAGTATAATTATTATTCGCGGTGAAGTATGTTGTCTCCGTCATACACATTTACTCAGTAGGTAGTATACTGCAGCAACACATTTCGAATGAATTTAGTCGTCATATGTTTTAAAAACAGATTTTACTCTCGAGAAGTCCATCCAAAATCTTTTGACACGCTATACGTTCATTTTTTTTTTGCCCAGAGTTTGCCCAATTTCGATCATTTTGCTGTGAACTTTTGTGAGACAAAATCGAAAATTTAGAAAAATAACCATTCTCAAGTAGATTCCATATGAAGTTTATTCATATCTGTTTTTTAAATCTTCATCACCAGATCCCGGTACGATAGAAATACAATATCCATAACCGTAACATAACAGTTTTCATTTTATACATCATTGCGTGTGTGATGGTCAGAGACGTAATATTATAATCACTGCTTCCAATTTATTTTTTCCTCAATGTATTGTCTCCGTCTCACAAAGTGGCAAAATACAAATGCATAACATATAGCACATTTGTGTTCAGCAGAACTAAATGTATGTTGTTATCTTTAATATTAGATTGATTTGACGTATTATCAATCATAAAGGTGAGATCATATTATTATCTGTGTCGAATGTTTGGCATTCCAATCTCAGCGAGTCAAGAATATTATGTAAAATATCACGATTTTCGAATGCTCATAGCTCGCTCAAAAAGTATAATATCATAAAAAATCAACATATTTTAGAGATAATGCAGTTACCTACTAACAGTTAGCTTTAAGTTTGATTGATATCGTAAGCACTACAAAACGAAATTGGGTCTGCGGTACACGCATTTGATAATAAAATTATGTTGTGCCTATACGTCTGTAAAATCGGAGTCACGGAGGCAACACATGCAGGTATCCGGTGTAGAGTATTCTTAATGGGCGTCGTATACTCGTATTATTACGATAAATTTATTATCATTATGTCACGCGTTAAAATATTGTTACGGTGTAATATACTTAAATATTATGTGTGTTCGATTCAACATAATAATATTGTTATCAGGACTTTGGAACATCGACGGCCTGTTGCCTCCTCTTTCCCGTACGCCACTGCCATCGTCGCAACTACTTACAGTCCACATCACACATACACGCACACACACACACACACGCAATAACGCATGCACTCAGTTGGTTATGGCCAGTCACCAGGGAAACAGACGGCGCACAAAACGGTCCGATTCGAAACAATAACATAATCTTAAAAATAATATTAATTATTCATTGCCGCAGCATTAGAGTATACGTTAATTGTACGGGCATATCATCTGCTCGAATTCGGTTCTTTTTGAAAAACTATACATTTTTTTTTAGATATATTATATTTACTTAGTCATTATACCTACTAATACGTTTAAACGTTGTTGTTGTTCGCCATCGTATTATTTAACCGTTTTGTATTGCATTACCCGCTCCTCAAGTCTGCTTTAAGTCTATAAGTTAATAAGTTTGCCATAAGCAAAAAAAAAAACCTTTACTTGCATCGCCTCCCCACCATTATACACGTATTTATACACTTGATAATACTAGAAAATGGCATCAACTTTTACCGCTTTGGTGATCTTCGGGCTTTCCTCGTTCTGGTCCACATGCTCGGCCGACCCGATCGCGATGGATAACTGCTGGCGGAAAGTGTGGTCTCTGACGCCTTTGTGTACGGACATGGACGGTTCTATGGACAGTTCTACTGGCGGTCCAAGGCTTTGCGTCTTTCAGTCGAGAGTGAGTTGATTCATGTTTAATATATACCTACAATATTTAAATTTATTTTTCTAAAATCACCACTACCCATGTATAATATACCCACTATGGAAAAATCCGAGAGTCCTCTAGACAATTTCTGGCTATTTTTTAGTGGAAATCCAATAGTATATCTGTGCATAAGTACTATATAGTTGCGCATGTCCAAGTGCTTATTCGATTTTACTAGACGTTTTTCTAAAAATATTTATTTATTAGACAATGTATTTATTTTTAATGATTTCACGTGTGTTACAAGTGTTTGAGTACAAACTTGTACAATACCTAAATAATTGGGTTTTTAAATTTTAAAAGTTTCACTTAACATATCAAAGGAGTAATGTTTTATTAATCCTCAGTAGGTAGGTGCACTGTTTTAAATATATATATATATATCAAAATACAAGCAAAATAGTTCTTATAAGACCATAAAGTCATAATCATCGACCTTTTTAAGTTCATATGTATAATTTATTCTAATAATAGCTTGGTTAAATTAGTTTTTAGTTGTATTTTATTGTTTGTTCTTAATAACTTTTTTTTGTTTTGTAAATCTATAACGATGTAAATACTTGAGTTTTACATTCAAAAGTACGTTTTTTCAAATGGACAGTCGGACAGAGGCCATTATAGTACTAGGTAGGCAGTTACCTATATTGTATATACAGCTGACAGATAAGAATTAATGTCTCAAATATAATTATGTATATATCATTAGGATTATTATTTATTAAGTATTAATAATCACTTATTATAACCAAACCAGTATCGAAATTGTCATTGACCATTGAACATTATCATATTATAATAATCGAGTTCGACTAAGTTTATAAACGTAGGTAAGTAGCGCCACAATACGTCTTCTTGAGTATTGACTATTGAAGTAGAGTAAATATTTATAGGTTAGTTCGTTGAGATATTATTTTTCCATATTTCTTAGGTTTATCTGATAAGTACAATATATCAGTCCGTTTCTGGAGTAAAGATATGTTAAGCGTTAAGTCTAAGGTAACGGAAAAGCAAGTCCTAGCTAAATGCTGAAAATTTAACCAAAACCACTCTAAACAAACTTTCATACAATATATGGATACCTACATAATTAGGAATAATTTAGATCAAATTCAGAATAACAAAAAAAATGTATTTTAACTAAAATAAACCCATTTTTGTAAGAATGTAACTAGCATTTTAAACAGTACATTTTCATTAAAACTGACAATTCTAATAAAAAATAATGAGAAATAACTAATTCTATACGATTCTTTCTGGTCATCGGAAGAAGTGTTTTAAGATTGATTGAAAAATCATGCATATTAATATAATATTATATATTTCCTACAACTACGATTTCAGGAATTCTGTAATGTCCGTAAGTGATCTGGAGGACCTCTATATTACCGACACAAAAGTACGAATTCGTTTCACGAGCTTCATAACATATATAGATAATATTATATACAATATGATATTACAGTCTGTGTCACTACATGTGAAATGAAAATGGTAATATCGTATTTTATTTTAATGTATATAATATTATATTGTGTATATTATAGGCACGGGCACATAAGGTTATATTATTATATTTATGTACATTATACATATATATTATAGATGTATAGCATGCTACGAGTATATATTATGTCGCGTGCAAATATTTCGGATTATATACGAGCGGTATAGGTTTGCTCTTTCACTGCTTCTAGATAGAAAAAAAGAGTAGATCAAATATAATAATACGTTAAATCAAAAAAAAAAAATATTTTAACTAAATGTTTGAGGACAGTTAGGAGCTGAATTGTAAAAGTGACAATTACCGTAAAATTGTTCACTGAAAACTTCAAATTTGTTTTTGAAATTATTTATTTTATTATTTTGTATATGTGTATTCCAACTGTAGGTACACTTCGAAAATTGTTTTATTTTTGTTTTAAAATTAACTCTCCATTGTACGTTGTTTTCATTAAAATAATGATGTCAAGTGTTTAACTTTAATATTAAGATGCATTTATTGTTTGTATAAGATTGCTAGTTATCGGATGTCTGTAGGCCCACGTCCATTAGTAATTCTGAATTTAATGCTATGCATACTTAGGTATTGTATGAGTTAAATGTTTTGATGTCAATGAACATACAATTTATAGAACAGTTCAAATTATGTACAAGTTATGTAAGTCGAAATATTAAGTATGGTATAATTACAATTTTAATAGAAACTCAATAATGTGCATCATAATATAGGCACAAGACGCAATTGTTAATTTTATGAGATAGGTTAGAAAAAAGTGACTATAAAAATAATAATAGTACTCTAAACGTTGCAATTTAATGTAACAGTATAATAATAATAGCCGTCATTAAAGAATTTATAAAGAATGACGTTTATGTAATTTTTTTTTTATTAAGTCGAATTTGAATGTGTTATACGAGTATACTGTAGACTGTAGAGTATTATAATATAAAGTTCTTAGATATTTTTAGATTGACACATGATTATATTTGTCATTTACTTTAAATAGATCAGTAACATATACCATATATATATATGATATTCTCATTCTCGTCAACGCCGGCTCTGTCACTAGAATTACACATTCCATCAATCCATTGATAATTGTTTCAGTTTACAACTTTATAGCCATTTTAACTTTTAAGTATAAATAACAATAGTGTATCTAGTCAAAGGACAGCGTATTATTTGTCTGTTTTATTTTGTAATTTGTACCGATTGTGTATTTCTAAGGCATCAATGTTATTACTATTTATGATTTATCGTTTGATAATATCGACCAACGATTTGTGTGTTTATTACATTTGTGGTTGTAAGTCAGATATTAATATTATATTATCGTTTAATATTTAAGGCTAGAGGCGGTATAAATTCTATGAATAAAGGTTTATAATCGGCTAAACAGGCAATTAAAATGTCTTATTCATTGTACTTAAGGAGACATTTACCAATCGCCGCATATAATGTATCTGATGAAAGGTTTATCGCTTTAATTTTTAAACTTTGATTTGAAATTCTTTTAAGATATATTTTTTTGTTAATTAATTAATTTTAAATAATATTAACGCTCCACATTAATAGATACCTGCCTATACATATTCCTTGTGTGAGGGTAGTTGTGGTGGTAAGGTTATTAATATTATAGAAGGTACATACCTACTTCAAGCGTTTTATACAAATAATATTATATATTATTTAATTATATAAAATGAGTATAAATGTTACTCATAATCCAACATCTATAAGCGTAATATAGTCCTTTGGTGTATCATTTTTGCTTTTTTAACAACAAATAATCATTTTATAAAATACAAGAGATCTTCATATTTATATATTATATTAATAATTACACTGAAAAACGAAAAACAATTGTATTATACTAATACTATAATACTGCACAATTTTAATCCCATATTAAATAAGTAACTCGTCATGACGATGCATTTATACATTCTGATTAATTTAACTTGTATAGTTTATGTAGGTACATTGTTTTTGTTATTTTTGAATAAAAACTGAATTCATGTTGTTTGAAGAACTATTTTAAGTTGCAACAGAACCAAATTTTTATCAATTTTTTATTGCATTGATTTCTTTGTCTGTTGAATTTTTTTAATGTCTGTAGGTACCTATAATAGTTATTTTTGTTTCGTTTTCAAATGTACAATACTTTCAATGTATAAATATAAAAGCTAAGTAGGTATAATTAAGTTATCGCACTTTATAAGCATTTAACAATTTAACATAAATGGTTGGAATGCTTATTACTTATTTTGAGGAATTAATTTTTGCAATGAGTTTGAGGCTTATGCATATAAATCTTATATATACCTACATAGGTATGTCTAAATTGTTAGAACTGTTTTCTGCTTCAAAAAAAAAAAAAAAAATTAAATTAATCAACTGTCGTTTAAAAATATAACAATGAAAAAAATAAGATTTTTTATAAAAATGTGGTGCGACTGTCTAACAGGTAACTACTTTAAATATTTTATAGATTTGAAAATGTTCCATACCAATATACTTATATACTCACGTCCTACACATGTTATAATATTGTACAAAAATATTTTTTCAAACTGAATTCAGATAAATTGTGATAACATAAATCAACAAGCAAAAAAAAAAGTAAAAAAAAAAATGTACACATTTGAATAGTTGGTTTAACCTGCGATTAGGTACCTACTTACGCTTAATGTTTATCTTACTCCATAGCTATCATATCAGGTAAGTTAAAAGTTTTCTAACTAGGTATTTATAAATTGATATTAATTGGTTGAAATCTTAAAATGTCATTTTTCAATACTTCCTTATAAGTTATTACTAACATAAATACTTAAAAATTAAAATGTTTTATTTTGATACAATATTGTCTGGCTGAGTGTTAGGTTGGAAATCTCGATCATTTTTCCAAACCAAACTTTCCTTTAAAGCGAGTTTTCTATTAAATTATTATAATAATATTATGTATCAACCAACATTTTGAAGAGGTGGTACTTAATCTATAAGTAAGGTTTATTCACAAAAAACAATTTTTTTAGTTTCCTTCTAATGATTTGAATAATATCTTTTTATTATGAGTTAAGGGGACGTCTTACTGTCTCCGCCGTACTAACGCATAATATAGGTAAGTACCAAGATGTACGTCCAGCAGTTCTAATTTTATGAGGTTGGCTTAAATATTAGAATGAATTCGCTTATCAACCTAAAGGTAAGATCATTCAATCTGTGTTCTCTCGTTCGATTTGAATGATTTATATTTTTTTAGTGAGTTATGAGTAGTTGTATAAAATATCAATGTTTAAAAATGCTCATAATTCACTTGAAAGTTGAAAACTCAACGAGATAACATAAATAAAGCTTTTAAATTTAAGTTTGATAATGGGCCAATTGACTTTAATATTTAAGCTAACTACACAAAATTAGAACTGCTGGATGCGCATTTTGGTATATTATCAGTTATGACTTATCA